GCTGAAGCTAGAGATGCATTTATAAAACACATACATTCAGATGTTGCAATACATGAAACAATAGATTCCAGACTAAACTATTTGAAAACAAAAGGCCTATCCCCGCAACCTTATATATTAATTGTTGGTGAGACTTTATTTAAGATCAAATCATTTTTAGTTGTAGTAAATCAGTCAACATTATATAAAGTAGACACTATATTAGAAGCAGTTGATATATGTTATAAAATTTTTTGGTCATTAAATATAGAGTACAGTAGTGACTCTTACCCAATATGGTATTTTTTACAAAGAGGTGTCTATAAAATGACTTCAAGTTATGACAAAGGCTCAACTTCAGTAGAATCTCTTTTAACAGATTGTGATATGTAGGTCATGTTCCTATGTTGAACTGTAATTCATAATTGTATTGTGAACATTGTATTATTGTTACCTATTGTATTAAAGTAAAAGTAACATCGGGTTATGTTACCGTTGAATATATGTTAAAAAAATATTATTTTTTCATAATTTTCATCATGTTGACTTGTTTTATATGTCATTTGCAATTACCAAATACAAAATTTCTTAAGTCGCACTTTAAATTGTCACATAGTTTTGATAGCCTGCGAACATATAAATGTGTCGAGGACGGCTGTAATCGTCAATTTCAATTATTTTTCTCTTTTAGAAGGCATATAATCAGGGAGCATTTTTCTAATATATCAAACAATCTTCCACAACCAATAACCAACACAAGTATATCTAACTTGAAGTCTGGTAATGCGTCTGTTGATGCTATTGACAATCGGCAATTACTTCCATGTTCTAGGTCTTCAACCACTTCAAGTTTATTGCCATGTGATGAGATAGTTGACAACGGGCTTTCAATGTTTGTTGCAAAGTTGTATGCCAATCAATCTTTGCCAAGAAACGTGGTTCAAACAGTGTTTACTGAATTTAGTAAATTTATGTCTAATCATTTGTTACTAGCATTAAAACAACAACTTGAAAATTTAACTACAAGTAATTCTATCGCTCAAGATACCATAAATAAAATTGAACTTCTTTTAACAAATTCTTTGAGGAATCATGATAGTGAACATAAAAGATTACAATATTTTAAAAATAAGGGGACGTATATTGAGCCAATATCTATAGTGATAGGAGAAAGATTAGAAAGAGTAAAGCGATCAGCCATTGTCCGCCTTCAACCAGTTACATGTGAACAGCATTTCATTTCACTTCGCAAAGTACTTAAATCATTTTTTTCTCTTGAAAATATTCTCTCAGAAACTTTATCATATATGAACTCTCTTAATAGAATGTGCGAAAATAACGCTGTGGAAAATTTTATTCAGGGTACATTTTGGCGCAGCAGGTTATGTGAACGACGAGGCAAAACCGTAATTCCTATTTTTTTATTTTTTGATGACTATGAGATTGGTAATGCATTAGGCTCCCGAGCAGGACAACATAAGTTAGGCGCAGTTTACGCATCAATTCCTTGCTTACCACCGTGTCGTGCATCAGCGCTTAAAAATATATTCCTACTGCTTCTATTTCACTCATCTGATCGAGTCCTTTTTGGTAACAATATTATTTTTCGATGCGTGATTGACGAACTCAACTATCTCAGCGAACATGGCATAGAATTCGACCTTCCGGTTTTCAAAGGCATCATTTATTTTGAACTCGGTTTGATTTTAGGAGATAATCTCGGTATTCATGCTATTACAGGTTTTGTAGAAAGTTTTTCCGCAAATTATTCTTGTAGAATTTGTAAAGTTTCAAAACAAGTTTTGAGAAGTCAGTGCATTGAAAATAAAGATATTTTACGTAATTTTGAAAATTATCAAAATGACCTATTATGTATCAATCCCTCTGAAACAGGTATTAAAGAAAAATGTATATGGCTTGATGTCATAGATTTTGATTTATTTAATCAAGTTGGTGTCGATTGCATGCATGATATATTAGAAGGTGTTGCGAAATATGTAATGCAATTTGTTCTTCTTCAATGCATAAGACGTTTTAAATTTTTTACTTTGACTCAACTCAATAATAAAATTCATGCTTTTGAGTATGGTCCTGATTGTAGAAATCAACCTTGTTCTTTTTCTATGGAAAATCTTATACGTAGCAATGTCCGACAATCGGCATCAGAAATGCTAACTTTGCTGCGATATTTTGGTTTATTGGTAGGGGAATCGGTTCCTAGAGAGAATGAAATTTGGGATTTGTATCTGAAATTAAGAATTGTTTTAGAAATAATCCTATCTTCTGCTTTCGCCAGAGGCACTGGAGAACTATTACAAACAGCTGTAAAGGATCTTAACACTTTGTATCTATCACTTACCAAAGATTCATTAAAACCAAAATTTCATAATTTAATTCATTATCATACTGCATTAGAAAAATATGGTCCTATTGTTTCTTTATGGTGTATGCGTTTTGAAGCTAAACACAGAGTTTTTAAAATGGCATCAAATGTATCATGTAATAGGAAGAATATTACATTGTCCCTAACTACAAAACATCAACTACAGCTCAATGAATTGTTTCTGACAGGTAAACTACCCGATACGCTTAGGACAGGTCCTGCTGTTAGAGTAAGTTATAATGATTCTGATATTAAACAACTCATACTGTCAACTATGCAATTATGTGATGACAGACCACTAGTCCATGTAACTTGGGCTACTGTATCTTCTACGCGGTATGTTAAGGGTACAATTTTAATTTACGATACAAATACCAACGATTCATTGCCTGAATTCTTAAGGGTTAACAATGTTTACTTGTATGACTCAAATGATTTAATTTTTGTTGGAACATTAATGCAGACATTGAGATTTGACGACCATTTTTTTGCTTATGAAGTTGGCGAAACTGAAACTAATCAAAATGTTATTAAACGTTACAAGTCTTTAGTGTCTCCTATCCCATGTAACATTAATGTTCTTAATAATGGCAAAAAATATATTACTGTGCGATGTGCATTATAATATCTAAATATTGAATAATTTAGGAAGTAAGTAAATAATGTACAAGATACATAATAAAATTGATAGTTTCAAATAAAACGTTTATTTTTTTCATAAAACCATATATCATCATTTCAGATTATTGATCTAATAAAGACACTTCTTCCAATACACAATTACGGTATTAACTACTCTTGTCTGTCGCGACACATTGTGTCGTTACGGTGTGAACTTATATATTTACGTTCACACCGTAACGACACACATCGTGTCGCGACAGACAAGAGTAGTTATAGCTTAATTGTGTATTGGAAGAAGTGTCTTTATTAGATCAATTATCTGATATGAACATACCAACAATCACTCTTAGTAGATACAATAAACTAATTTGACAAACTTGACCAAGACCTTGATTGAATGAACTAATACACATTTTTGCACTGAATATGATAAATGTTATTGTAAACAAGCAGCTTAATTGGATCAATACAATATTAAGTAGGTGCAACTAAACGTCTTGGTTGATTGAAGTAGTTTCTTATTGAATCTAAATGAGTATCGTATTTGAATTAAACAAATTAATTGTTCTTCTAAGTATGTTATACCGTTGATATAACTATTTTCTTAGTTAATACGACTATTAGAAAAATTGAATAAACAAACATACTTTGTAGATTTAAAATAGTATTAGGTAGGCGCAATCAAGAATGTTGGTTGTTTAAAGTTGGTTCTTATTTAATTTAAACTAAAATTATATTTGAATTGAACAAATGAATTGTTGTTATAAATAAGTAATATTTTTGATATAACTAAATTCTTAGTTAATACAACTATGGGAAAAATAGAATCTACAAACATACTTTGTAGGCTTAAAATTGCATTAGGTAGGCAGAATCAAGAGTCTTGGTTGATTTAAGTAGTGTCTTATTGAATCTTAAGAAGGAATATGTTTGAATTGAATAAAATAATTGTTCGAATAAGCAAGTATTAGCATTGATATAACTATTTTCTTAGTTGATTCTATTGTGGAAAATTGTAGATTTAAAATGGTTTCATAATTGCATTAAAAATATTTTTGATTAAATATTCAACAAAGTTCTCTAAGTCAAATCAATTTAGCTCTTAGCAGGTTCAAATAGAAACAAGAAGGGTGTTTATAATAAACAAGATTGTGTTTGTAGTAGACATTTTTTTTTTTCAGTGTATTATTACGTATGAAATTTACGTATTTATACTTTGATTTTAAATTTCTACAATATTAGATTGAGATTAGATCTTGGAGACTATAATATAACGATATAGGCAACTACAGTTTTTAAATGAGTAGACTGAAATATCTGAGTGAATCTTCTCAAAATTCAATAATTTCATTGATTTTGTTAAAGTTATCATCGGTCGGGGCATTTTTTTTTCTCAGGACTAGATTTCATCCGAAAAGTAATCCATATGGATTTTTTTTCCATTTGCCAATCATTCATTTAAGTGATGTATAAATGGCAAGAAAAGATGTAAACTATATAGGCCACGACTATCAGCTCGTTGTTTCTAGGTCAGTGGTTTTATTTCATGTAGGTAATGTAATAAATTGTTATATAATTTTTACAGTATCGATATAATCGCTTGGTAATTGATAGTATACAAAACGGAACCAATCATCATACAAGGAATAAATAAAAGTAAATAAAGAGAGACTGGCATGATATATTAACTGCCAAAAACTCGTAAGTAGTGCGAGTGCCATTATTGGTAGTTAATCTACATATCATATAGGAATCTATAGACAACTACCAGCGATATTGCCGTATTTTAGGTCTATTTAGGGTCTATTATAGGTATATTAGCATTTCATATTAATCTAGACAAAAACGGTCGCGATTTACTATTCTATTATTCTACTATTTACTATTCTACACTTTGAAACCTCTTCGAGGGCGAAGTTGCTTAACTTCGGCAAAAAATTATTGAATGCGCTATCCTCAAATGAAAAGCAAATAACCAATTTTGAGTCTTGTGTTTTATTACATAACTACGACTAAAAGCAAACAAATACCAATGATACCAGTCATCATATCGTTTGGTTGTAAATCAGCATTACTTATATTATCAAAAAAGTTTTATGGGGCTTATATAACGGCACGCGTTTGCCACCAAAGTTATTTGTTGGTTGGTTATCTGACATTCATCCAGGTTTGCAAAATGGCATATTTAGGTAAAGAGTTTAAGTTAGACAAAGAAGAAAATGTGGATGCTTTGATTGCTTATATTGGTGAGTTGAAAAAGTAATCAAATTTTCGATGTGTTTATCTATTTTGTAATAAAATGGCCGCATTCATCGGTCACTACACTGCCACAGCATAAAGGTTCAATCAAATAAATCCTTTACCTTTTAAAGTAAGTTTTAATGGTTTCAACTTCTATCATATGACATCACTGTGCTCAAAGTCGATTCTTACAAAATAGCACTGCTAATCACATTTTACAAAATTTTTGTATTCACCTTAGCGAAATGTTACGACTTCAAATCTTGTTTCCTTTTTCTTCTTCTCCTCTATTGTTGATTTATCTTAAAGAATATACATTTTTTTACTATCATTTCCCAACTAGATTCTGCTGACCCTAATTCAAAAGCTAAGTCTATCTTGCATTTCAAACCAAATCAGAAAATTGTGAAGAATGGTGACGAATACACGATTACACTTAACGCCGGTGATTTTAAAAAGGAAATAAATTTTAGGCCTGGTGTGCCATTCGATGATGAACTTGGTGATGATGTTAAGGTAAAGTAAAAACATTTTTACACAACTCTCATTCTTGAAAGGTGCGAAAAAAATTTAGGTCGTTTCCGTGTATACGCCCGAGAAACTAAACGTGTTAGTTTGCTATTCGTTGATGACAAGTGCACTCACATTCGTCTAAATCGGACGACCAGCATGACTGAAAGGTCCACCCACCTTATGGTGGTGGTGGTGGTACCTTTATTGTTTTAAATTTCTATAACACAAGAGGTTTGTCTACTTTACTTGAAGTGCTAACGCTTAACTCTCTAATCATGACACTAGCCTCATTGAGATACCACATTTTAATGATATAATGACGATATTTTATTTTACTATTTTACATATACTTTATTAAAGACAGATAAATGTTAAAAAATGATGAGTATGGATTTAATGGCAGTGTTACCATTCATCCAACAAAAGACACGTTAAAGTAGCAAAACGATAACGATATATCGCTAAGATGTCGAATGCTACGGCTAGAGCTAGAAAACAGCTGGTTGCACACCTGGAGGATATGTGACAATATTGGTATGTGATATTTAGATGTTGGCTTTATAAAAAAAATGCCAATCAATTTATTTCAGGTAAAATCTACTGTCAATGTTGAGGGTGATACCTTTACTCAAGTAATGGACTTCGGGGCTAAAGGCGCTATCACTTTAAAAAGAGAATACCAGGCAGATTCCCTTAAAATTGTAAGTAATTTTAAATAACCAATCAAATAGGGATGATGACTAATTTTTGTTTGTTTGTACGTCAGGTAGTGTGTTAAAAAATAATAAATACGTATTTTTTTCGTAATCATAAAATTACGGCTTTACATGGAGTTGAAATTTCGCATGACATCACGTTAGGGTACGTTTTCTACTCAGCTGTGACGTAGCGAGCCTCCACTTCTCAACTTTAATGCCTGTTATCTAAGCTATTTCTTGTTAAATTGAAGTAAAAAAAATACGTATCTAATATTTTTCTATTATCTGACGGACGGACTAAATAGAATTGCATTTTTTTACCCAGTCATCATCCCTATTGTACTTATTTCTTCTGACTTCGTACACATCAAATATAGCCCATCTCACTTCTTTAAAATAGGTGTAGCTTTCACTATATGATTTTTTGTATGATGAGGTTATTTCCGAAGATGGTTCCCCAGAAAGAAACAAAGTTAGAAACTTTAGCTCTTTAAGATAATAGTATAATTAATCAGTTTTATCCGATCTAAAATATCTAATCAAAAACGTTGAAAAGATATAAAGAGATGATATAAATCTTGATATAATATATTGATATAAAGAAGGAACTTTTTAACAGAATTGGTGGTGAGTAGGCTGGTTTGTACCGTGCCAAAAAAAATTGTTTAGCAATTCAAAGAGGAAACGCTCACAGTCTTCTGGGCATCTGCCTATTGGCAATGATTTGGAGGATATTTTTTACCTAGTATAGTTTTAGTCATACTTGATAGCATTAAATTATTATCCTACTAATATTATAAATGTGAAAGTTTCTTTGTTTGGATGTTTGTTCATCAATCAGGCCGAAACTACGGAACGGATTTTGATGAAATTTGGTATACTGGCTGGTATTAGATAATTGGATACTTTTTATTTGACTAAATATTTCTCTAGGTACCACGCGGGCGAAGCCGCCGGCGAAAGCTTTATTTTATTTTATTGATAAGCCCGGCCTTACAATATTGGCCGAGCTTCCTATCTATCCCCACACAGCAGGTCTTTATTAATCTAACTTCACTTTCAAAGCTAAGCTAAGCTAGTAAGTTTATATTTCTGTATATTAGTAGGTACAAATATAATTAATATGAAAATTTCTGTTATTTTCCAGACGATCACCGCTTCGAAGTGGGATAGTAAAGCTGTCAGATACTATGTCCCTGCCTAATTTGACTACAACATCGACAATAACGCTCTCGCATGAGATGCAAACTTTGTTTTGATCTGTAATTGTAATTGTATTTTTTTATCACTGTTTTTATTAAAAAAATATTTTACAGTTTCGCTTGTTTAACTTTTATTAATATTTTACTTATTTGACAGATATTATATTGTGTTGAAGGAGCAAAAAAATTTAATGCTAAATGATGATTGACTCACTACATAATTTTAACTATACAGTGAGAATAAGAAGCCTAGCTAAACCTATTTTTTATTTATATCTACTTTGTCATTAATGTTTCTAATGCCAACAAGTTTATTATTCAAAATAAATAAGGAAGATATATAATAAAAAAGATATATAAAGCCTTTTTTTACAATATTTAAGAAAAAGTATTTAATCAAACGCGTTAAGTTTGAGTGAATTGTGAAAAATTCGCCGCCGTAATGATGGAAAAAGCCGCTCTGAAAATTACCCCATATCAAACTCCACCGTGCTTCAAATCGCACGTTAATCCGTTGATCCCGGCTATTTAATAGGCTTCATAGTGATGACGATAATTCACAAAAAATATGACTAATACGTCTAATCTAAAGTTATATCAGATATATGGTGTGGTCGTATTATTACATTATCAATTTACTGATTGATAAGTGTTTCGTTTGCTTTTAGTTCACTTTTATCAGGGAGCCTATTCATCAAAATAAGAGAAACAAAATTATTCAATTGTATTTTTTTTATTACGTATATCAAATTTGATAAAGGTGTACATCATTTATGAGCTTAATTTAAATACCCAATGCGTGCGACACTTATATTTATAATAATAAGTCGGAACTTTTTGATATTGTTTATCTTTTTTCGTTGTTTTTATGTTTATATCTTGTTAAATAAACTTGTAATCTTTGATTAGCTTTTGACCACAACTTCGATTGCGTGGTATTAGTATTTACAGTAGGTACTTCATTTTAAACTAATTTCAAAAAAGAATAGAGGTTTTCAATTTAACTATTTTCTTATATTAATGTTGCATTTTTTTTTGTTTCAAAGAGTATATTCTCGAAATAATCTCTTTAAAACTTTGTCGAAATTAGATCAGTAGTTTTGTTTTAATGAAAAATTGCTGGTAGCCTTTTCAGGAAGAACATCGTAACCGCCATTTGGTATATTTTACAGTAGAAGAATTTTTTTTAAATATTTCTTAGAGTATTGACATCATCATTATGAAAATTCTACTAAATGCTATACAAGCGATTACCTATTAATGTATATGTTAATTTTTGAATTAGTACTTCAAAATTTTTATTCAAATGTCGCTAACGATAATTTAAAAATATGAATCTAAAAGTAGAAATAAAAAAAAAAACAATTAAATGCATTTAATTAAGAGACCCTTGACGTTTAAAAACTATATATACTTTTACTAGAAGTAAAAATCACATATAAACAGAATCCATCACCTTCCTCGGTCGCGAGCAACACATCCTTGGGGTTTCCATCACACGACAATTCATTATATTTTTTAACGTAGGTGTCTAGTACGACACCTTTGTCACACATTTTCAAAAATAGGTTCACGAACAGCTTTAGATTCTCTTTTAATAGCTTTTATGATCTTTCTTTATCCTTTACATATAAAGGTGAGACAAAAGTTATGAACGTGAGAGAATAAAGAATGTTAATGGAGAAATTAAATGATTTCACCTTTTGAGTACGGAACTGTAAAACGAATCTCATCTCAAATATATTTGCTAAATCACACTATCACAATTCCATCGACAAGGTAAATAATATCGAGGATGCAGTATAATTCTCTTCTCCTCCTCAAGAAAGCCTAAACCTACTATTTTCCGTAATGTTATTAAAAATACGCACATTTTTAAATAATAGTACGAAACAATAATATGTAATCAATACAAACTCAATCTAAAATCATTTAGATAAAATATGGTACGAAAAAGTATGAAACCTTAAAATATATATATAGAATTTGATAACGGAATCCTACGAATGAATGAAAAAACGAGTAGAAGTTTGTATGAGAGCTAATTTATTTACTTCATTTCTATACATAATTCTACCTTACTTAAATACAAATAATAAGTTTTTTATATAAATTTAAAAATAATGTAAATATCGAGCCTATTCAGGAAAAAACATCGTAAGCCCAAAATTCCAAAAATGATGTCTTTGTACTAATCGTTGGACCACTTACATTTGCGCCTTCCTCACTTACTTTGAAGTAAAATGTGTAATGGTATCACCGTTTACTGTAATGGTGGTCTTTGCCTGTTGGAAAACCAAAAATTTTAGAAAATATTAAACGATATATAAATATGTATTACTGCATCAGAGTACCAGGGTCAAAGTTGATTTTTAAACATTTTATTAATATTTTAAAGTATAACATTATTGACGCAAAATTTATCAAAAATAAATATTATTGTAATATTTTAGATATGGTTTCTGATAATTTGTCTCTATCTAATTCTAATATACTTAGAGATAATTTAGTTTTTTTATCATTCCCTAGTTTTTATCGGGTTGTGCGCAAGTCACACCTTCTAACCTGATTCCATGAACAGAATAACAAACGTGCCTCGACTGTGTATTTTTAGATACGCATTTAATATTAATTTTCAAAGTTGTTATTCCTTTTCTTTAGTTGACCGTTTATCTGAGTGATTGGAGGCTATTACTAATACTCAGAAAAAGTGGCCTTTAAATGTCTCAATATTTGACGCCGACCTAAAATTATTCAAGTATTAGAGTAGTTTTAAAAGTTAGTTAATAAAAAGATTTTTACTATTGGATTTTCAGATTTTTGTGCATACATTATCTATTTAATTTTTTATACTTAAATAGATAATGTATGCACATTGTGTTTGAAAAAAGTTTTTCAGTTTTTTAAACTGAAAAACTTTTTTCAAACAAAATGAGAGTCAAGTCGGCACTTGAGAAAATTTTGACCTTTTCAATAGAGTTAGATGTCATTTGTCATTAATCACTCAACACCAAACATGACTTAAAACTTTAAACGAGAGGTACACGAAATATGCTCTATTTTTTCTAACGGAAATTACCGCATCGTGCTATTCAACCAAATCAGTATGCTTATATTTGAAAGCAATCTCGATCGAATGACATTGCGCTTCGTACTCTTAATTTGATATACTATTGGCTCAATATTGCGTGGTTATTCAATAAACTTATTGACATTAAGTATTTAGTCTACGTTTCAAAAGTACGAGCTAAAATTCGATGGAAATTGAGATCGATATTGGATTGGACTTGAAATCACATTGAGATTGCGATCAAAAGTAAGCCTGCAGAGCTTGACGAGGGGTTGCCGAAAGTGCCAGAAGTCAGTATCACTAAATAAATTTAACCTATAGTATGTAGACGTATGATTGGCTACAAATATCTTATTAAATTAAGATTAAGACTGATAATTATTCTTTAAAGTCCGATTAATCTATAATATTATTTTAAATCACAATTATTGAATTGAACGCATGTAAGAATAAGTAATAGTGAGCATAGAATGATATAGTAACAAAGAAGGAATTATATTTTTTTATTTAAAATTAGAAAGAGTTTAATTTGATCCATTATTACATCATGCAGAAGAAAGGAAATCATTAGTTTTCAAAAGACAACATGTTTGAAAAAGTTCGTTTGTTTCTTAAAATACTCTTTCGCGTAATTTCGACCGCCTATCGGCCAATAAGTTTCTCTAATACTAGCTTATAATAATTGAGGACCGGCATGCATTAATTTTTTATGTTCAAATTCAAAAATTACGTATAATTTAGTTACTTGATGTGTGGACTGTATATAGGATCTTTCTTTTCAAATGAAAAATTGGAATTTTCTAAAAAACCTCCACCGCGAATTAAATCATTGTTTTCTAAATAAAAATTTAATTTTATATGTAGTCCACATACTTGTAGACTTATATATGAATGTAGACTTCTTTGGCAAGTCCTTATCGGTAATTAACAAATTATATTCAGGAAATGATTGAATTTGTGACCGACGTAAATGAAAATACTACTCGTGTACGCTACGTATACTCATTGAAGATTGATACTCTTGTCCGGTGAAGGAAAATGGTGTTGTCAGAAGAAGTTGTCACAGCAGGATAGTACCACTGATGATGCCTGGTGAAGATTTGGTTGAAGGACAAGTCTTCAACGCGCAGGGGCATGTTCGAAACGAATAATCATCACACATCACTAGTTAAGTTATCTTAAGTTTTTGTAACGGTTTTTATTATTATGAATACTGTATTGATATGTTAGTGAGTATGTATGACTCGGCAACCGGCATATTTATCAGTTATCGAAATTATCTGTCTTGTTATTTCTGATATATTTCTTCTTGTGAAATAAAACCGAGATAAAATAGCAGCCCTTGCTGAGTTTCTTGTCGGTTATTCTCAGTACAGGGTATTTTTGCGAACCGTTGCCGTAGTTTTAGACTCAGAAATGGTGTGTAACAGCCTAGACTGAATAAACTGTTAAAAAAAACCAGGCTGGACATTTTGCTTTAAAAGCTGGCCTTTAAATAAGCAAATTACTTTTATAAAACCGGACACACGTTTTTCGGGTTCCGTAATCAACAATGTTTTGCCTACCTTGCATACGTTCAACATAGCTGCGAGCACCGCGTTACTCTAACATAAGCCGATAAGCTGGACATTATAAATATTTAGCGGAGCACGACTTAAAGCCAAACGTGGCAACACTCATGTTAATTTTGTAATCTTATTGAACTTCGGAGTGTCTTATCGATGCTGATTAATTTTTGAACATTTGATCTAAATAACAAAGTACCTAATTATTACAATCATCATTGCATGACCCATCCTCCTTAACCATCCAAAACGAAGGCCTGAGCCCCTGCAGTGGGGACGTAAAAGGGCTGATGATGATGATGATAACAGATAGTAAGAATATTTTAAAAATTAATACACGAACTTTTTCAAACAAATTGTGTTTTGACAATCAATAATTTCCTTTCTTCTGCATTTGGATGGATCAAAAAATGCTCTTTCTAATTTTAAACAAAAAAATATATAATCACTTCTATATTCAGATTTTATTTGCTACTATGTCATTATATGCTCACTATTACTTTATTCTTACATGCATTCAATTCAATAATTGTGATTTAAAATAATGTTATAGAGTAATCGGACTTTAAAGAATAATTATAAGTTTTAATCCTAATATAATAAAATATTTCTGGCTAATCATACGTCTACACTACAATCTTTGAGGGAGGCCTATGCCCAGCAGTGGGCCTACGGAGATCTTTGGGGGAGGCGTCTCTCGGCTGAAACGATGATGACGATATGTGTACATACGTCTACATACTAAAGGTTAAATTTATTTAGTGATACTGACTACTGGCACTATCGGCAAGCCCTCGTCAAGCTCTGCAGACTTATGATCGCAATCTCAATGTGATTTCCAATCCAATCCAATATCGATCTCAATTTCCATCTTCTCGTACCATCGAATCTTAGCTCGTACTTTTGGAACGTAGACTCAATACTTAATGTCAATTAGTTTATTGAATAACCACGCAATATTGAGCCAATAGTATATCAAATTAAGAGTACGAAACGCAATGTCATTCGATCGAGATTGCGTTCAAGAGTAAGCATACTGATTTGGTTAAACAGCACGATGTGGTAATTTCTCCCGTTAGAAAAAATAGAACAAATTTCGTGTACGCCTCGTATAAAGTTTTAAGTCATGTTTGGTGTTGAGTGATTAATGACAAATGACATCTAACTGTATTAAAAAGTCAAACTTTTTTCAAGACGGCTCCATTTTATTGAAAAAAGTTTTTATATTAAAAAATATTTTAATTTTAACTTTATCTTAAACAAAATTCGCTAACTAGTTTTTGAGATTTTTGTGTTTAAATCCAATCTGCTCGTACTCTTTATTTCGGTTACATATAATCATTTAATAATAGCTTTATTACAGTTCACTAAAGGAAATTTAACGCCACACGGCATTCTCTAACAGTTCTAGATGTGAAGGCGTAAAATAGGTGCAACACGGGCGCATTAAAGATTTAATAAAATAAATATTTATAAGTACAAACACTTCTATATAGGAATTTGTGTCATCTTTTCTATTATCATTATTTCATCATACACGTCATTTTTATAACAAATCAGTCGTTAATCGTTTATCAATCATTCCATCAGTCCATTTTATTTAGGGATGTATTTAGGATCCGTTTACGGATACGGTTATTTGAGAAATGTTGTTCGGTATATCGGAAATAACAGTTCAAGTTAACGGATATGTTACTTTCGGATCACCAGTAGTTTCGATTTTTAAATAATTTTAAGATTAATATACAAATAGACAATAACTACGTTTTATTTCCGGTGGTATTTTATTTAGCACTATCAAATTAAGTTCAAAAGCTGTCAAATAACACCGCATTTCTATAAATGTTACTTATGTAACAAATAAAATTTTACGTACATCATGTCATCAAGTTAATTTATCAAATAACCCGTGGTTAGCGGTGTGGGTTTCATAATAATTGTACTAAATTTCTGAATCCTAATAATATATTGATATTGTGTAAAAAAAGAAAATGAAAAGGAAATGTCAGATTCATTACAAAAACATAATAAATATCAAATACTAATTGTTATAGCAATAAAAATGTTTTAAATTAAAACAAAGGAAAGTTTTAAATTAAAATAAATGCTACTGTGTGCCTGTGAAGTATGTAATATGAATCGAAATGACCTTGATTTCTGTCATTATTGTTCCGATGCGACGCATATCTATAAACAAATTGTTGCTTAAAACCTTCTACCCTACTGTTTCCACAGGTTAATGCGATGTTCGGGTACAGTTTATTACCTACAGTTTATTAGGTATTATAATATGAATATTTAAATATTATGGTGTGAAGGATATAAAACCAACGGAAACGATTGTGCATTTATAAATACTGATTCTGCATTTCTATCCTTTTCTTATTGACATTGATAATAATTGCAAAATAAAATTCCGTGGGTTTCGATATTTTTCTATAATGACAATCATAAAAACAAAATACAATAGAAAATATTAAAAATATAAAAGTATACAAAAACTATAAAAAAAGGTTGCACTATCATCGTCGTCGGCAACAGACATTTTTAATTGACTTGTAACTATCTTGAATACCTTCTTTTGCACAATCAATTAAAATCAGTCCGCTCTTTCTCGATGCCCCAACAGTAATCTGCAAGCTTGACTGATGGTTTATTTACCGTGATAACTCTTTCATATATTGAAGTGAGCATTTTTTAATTCCTTTTATTTTGGCTACGGTACGGTTACGGATAACTTTTTATTTCGGATATTCGATAAATTTTTGTTTTGATTAATAGACGATAAGAGAATGGATAACATGTGGTTGCAATTTTTGCTAACTACTATCATATATCGAAATCAAATATCAATATACGATACCCGACTACAGTAATTAATATCTACTTTATCAAATTTCATGATAAAAGAAGCTCGTATATAAATAATCTTCTTCCATTATATCTATTAGTGTGTGAGAGGTCGGATTTACTTTAAAATAAAATGGCTTACTTGGGAAAAGAATTTACCGTTGAAAAGGATGAAAACTACGCTGAGTTTATAAAATCTCTGGGTATGTGAAATTAAATATTTATGATTCAAATTAATTAACTAAGGAAAATGATCATTACTACCGTATCAAAGGTAGTGCAAGTTTGTCACCCTGAAACTAGAAAGTTTGATTTAACTTTGCTGCAAGTTGCCATGTTATCTGGGATACATGTGGATCATATATCTGAAACATTTATTAATAAGAATTACTATTATCTTAAAGGTCTTCCTGAGGCAGAAGCGGCACACTTCATTGCATACAAACCCGTAACTAAGCTAGAGAAAAATGGTGACACATACAAGATAACTACCGTCACAAGTAATGGCACAAGGGTAGCAGAGTTCAAATCTGGTGTGGAATTCGATGAAGAGTTGAAACCTGGTTTTACAGTAAGATCGTTGTTTAAACTAATGGCTAATCAAATGTTTGGCAGCTGGGGATAGAGTGGCATAGATAATTTTTTATATAATACAGAGTGGTTTGTTTGAGAAAAGAAAATAGTTATTTTACTAATTTGCTAGACTTTTACGATTTCTTATACATTCCTCAAACATTTTAAACACAGCAGAAAAGAAATCAGTTAAATCAAAGGTCAAATCGCTTCAGGCTATCTCTAGTTTTGAGCTTAGCAACACATTCAGCGATACGTTTTTGTTATAAAGATTATATGATGATTGCAGCTTCTATTTCAATTATTCAGGAGGAATGCGTTAAAGTACGATTCCTCTCCTCTTCCCACCGTTATGAAGAGACCTGCCTAAGCATTCTTGCAGGTCAGGAGGAGAAGTTTAATTATCATTCTGGCAAATCATCACAATTAAATGTTAAAAGTTATTTTCGTAGTCAAGTTCAAAATCCAAATTTTGTACCAACATTAATGGAAATTGATTCATATTGAAAATTCAAAGTCGATTAAGGAAATTGTTATTTATTATTTACCTACTCTTTAAAAGTAATAATAACAATAGCTAAAGCTGTGAAATATAAAGTAAATAATAAAATAATAGCTTCATGCTGAGAAAAAAAAGCAGGTGATAATAATAAATGCTTTATTGCACAAAACACAGGGTAAAAAATAAGTGTGCACTGAGTTTTTGCAGAATAGCAACGTTAAAAATTTATAGAAATAAGACTTTGAATTTTCAATATCTTTAATAAGCTAATAACAATTAAAGAACAAAAATAATTCTACAACGCAGGTCAGGACAAAATACGTCGTAAATGGAGATACGATTACTCAGGACATGACAAAGGATGGCAAGAGTACTACTTATAAGAGGGAATTCTCTCCTGACAAAATGAAATTGGTAAGTACATACTTAGTCAGTTACTGCAGGCGATATTAAACTCTAACATTTAAAAACAAATGGAGAAATTCCCATTTCCCTCGAGAACTTTTAGTGCACTTTGCTCTTATCTTACTCTCTACCCGAGAAAGTGACATTTGAGTGTAGACAAAGCATTTCTCGAGTTTATCATGTAAGGTGTGCTGCCCGGCGATTCTCTAAAAATCTAAACCTGAATTTGAATTCACTCTTGTGTCCGAATTTACATCATTAAGTGAAAAAATTCTATTGATTCCATTTTTGTATAAAAATACAAAACAAAATTGATTGATCGAACAAAATTTTATAAATCCCAACCACCTGTCCTTCCACTTGGACCAACTAAACTAACCAACTGGTTGTATAGAATGAAACTCGATGAAGGGTTTTATAGTTTTACTGGATGATCGGGTATTATATTTTGGAAAAAAATATTCCATTTCGATCAACTGAACTGACCAACGAAACGGATGAACTAGTTTTTTTTTCTCAAGGAAACAACTTTTCAGTTGGTTCGATGGGAATAATTTATATTTTTTCCCACCTACACAACTTTTGAATTAAAACTTCACTAATGAAATGGCCGCTGGCCTCATAATGAAGTGCCTGCGTTAGCTTATTATTATTACTCCAAATAAAATAGTTTTTTAATTCTAGAAGTTTTTTAATCTAGTTTGAGTTGCGTAGATGAAATATTTTTAATTAATAAATATTTCTATCGGTTTAACTAAAATTTTTAACAAATAAGTGAGACAAATATTAACTGTGTAATTATTCAAGACAATGTTATTGAAATCGGGCGGAGGGTTTCTGTTGGTTATTAAAATGATTATCTCGAATGTTTCTTTTGAAAATCTTATTTGGTGTTGAAAAAAAGACAGTCAACACCTTAGTTTTATGTGAACACGGAACCTGTAGTGTCCGAAACGTCATGAAAGAAAATACAAACACGATGAAACTGTTTAAAACTTGTTTCATTTATGGATAGTGCGTGTGAAAATATAAGAAATCAATAAATTATTTCTCAAAAGATAAAGGTAAAGAAAGTATGAAGTCGGTTTTATTTAAAACATTTTTTTGTTGCAAAATATTTAGTGATACTTTTATTTTGCTTTATGTAGGAATCTATTTAAAATAGTATGTTAACATAACGAAAGTCCGGGAGATTTTGTGTATTTTCAAGATATACATAATTATTTCCACACATACATATTTCCAATAATATAAAATTCGTCATCGATTTGTCATCAGTGAAGATACTCGTACATAAAAAAAACATACACCAGTGTCGAACATCGAACCTCCTACTTTTCGATTTAGAAGTCGATCAAAAGTTGTACTGACCAGAAAGAAAAATAGTTGATCCGTTTGAAGTTGTGTGGATGGGAACAAATTTAAATTAATAAAATATTCCTATCGGATCTTCCAAACAAATTAGCTCGTTGATAAAGAAAAATAGTTGATCTGTCTCAGTTGGTCGCTTTAGTTAGTCAGAGTGGAAGGACAGATTTATTCTTTTGTGATCTAGTAGTAACAAGAACTGTATCATAAAGAGCTTCTAGGTGAAGTACTTATAACTTTCATAATAACGCTAACATAAGCAGAATTTCCCTATAACTGTGCGATCATGTAACTCTCTAGCTATCACTCAAGCCATTGGATACGTTATCTTAGCAATATTGTGACGATATTTCGTTACATTTTACTGCTTTGACATGTCTTTTGATGGATTGATAATTTTGACTGAAGAAGGTGGTGAAACTGTCAAAGCTTCAATCAATAATCTTTATCATTCTTTCATGGTATTAAGGTGCACGTGCACGTGAATAGTAAAATAAAACGAAATATCGCCATAATATTCGCCAAGAAATGGCTTGATGTTATTTTATCGCATTCCGGATGTGATGTTACGCACATGTATGTCGAATAACTATGAGTACAAAGTACAATTATAATACAATTGCGAATTTCCGCCTCGCAAAATCATTTTTCTTTGTTGCTATCAGCCTTCTATAGTACCAATTGCAGGCTTTACCTATGGATATAATCGCCGGAGTATGGGTTACCTTTGTAAGAACGGTGTGCGTTAACGACGGGACAGGGACCTCTTGAAACTTTCGCAATTATTAAGCAGGACGCTTAAAAAATGACGCCAATGAACTCCCTCTAAAATAGTTGCATTTAAAAAAACTTGCATTTTAATACAAACATTTTCTTTCTTTTTTTCAGACCATCACTAGTTCATTTTGGGATGGAGTAGCATATAGGTACTACAAGTTGGTTTAAATTTAATTCATAATAATAATAATAGATTTATCATAATATTATATAATTAAAAATAAGGAAAAATCGTGTTATTTTGATTTTCCCCCTGTTCCACTAACCCTATCTACGTATCCCCAGAAACGTTTAAGTTAAAGTTTAAATTCACACGAATAAATCCCTGGAATCACAATTTTTTGACTTTTATTTCAAAAGACTCCTTTCCCGAGACAAACTCTTATAATATAATACACCACACTTTCTTTTTACACGACTGCAAAGGATGAGTTATGTATTTTACTACAGTGAAACAAAATTATAGAAATTTTGTAGCTACAGAATAATAAATAAATCTATGCTTCAAAATTGGCTTCAAACATTATATATTAATCTTTTGGTTCAAACAAAGATTTATATTGTTAATATTTGAACATTTTTGCAATCACATTTGTTTTTTCGCAACAACAACAAAAAATCCACGAATTCTACAAGAATAAAAAAATAGAAATGCACAATCATTTATGAAACATTTTTGAGTAACTATTTAAATTAAATAAATAGGTATTAAAAACTAATATGTAATTTTAAATAATTTGTTTATTATATTGCAACAAATTTTAAAAGTAATTTATGTAAAAATATAAGATTGCAGAGTTAGTTTTTAAAAAAACCCTTGCATAATACATATATATTATATTACATTAATAATTAATGTTTTCAACTTTTTTAAAAATGTCGATAATAACAAGAGTTTTGTTTCAAAGCCAACAAACAATCACAAACAATTGACTAAATATTAGAAGTTTTAAGACAGCACATACATGGAATAATCTACTTACTACCTACTCATATAATTACGCAGATTTTTTTAACAGCAGATTTTTTGAAAATTGTCTTTTATAAAAAACCGTTTTCAACTCCTTATTTGGGGCCATTCATTAATCACGTGAGGGTTGAAATAGAATGGGGGGGGGTTCTTAAAAATCACTTAATAACAAGGGGGGAAGGGGTTGTAATAATGTATCACGTGTTATTATTTTTCCCTCAAACGCGTGATTACTGAACCGAAAAGAAGCGACAAAAATTTATTTTTTTCAACTTTTTTAAAATGCCGATATTAACAAGCGTTTTTTTCACAGCCAACAAACAATCACAAATATTTGACTAAATATTAAAAGTACAATATTAAGGCAGCACATACATGGAATAATCTTTAAAAAAAATCACCAATAATTTCAACACTTATTGAAATAAGATGGACATAGAAGTAAAAACCTTGTAAACCTTGTAAAGTGTTTCGTGAATTTCGAGCGGGTAACAAAGGAGCCGATTGTTTTTAATAAACCATAGGTTCTTTTGTGAGCTACAAACATTAAAATAATGTTAATGAATAATATATGTACTCTACGCAGATGAGGCTCACTACTTTTTAGTACCTCTAAGTTTAATTATAAGTCTAATACAGGCACCAGAGCAGAGTTGGCCAAATGTATACCTTTGTTGGTTTGATCACATGTCTGCCACAAGTTTATGACTGACAGCTTAACAGTACGACCATTTTTTTACAACTTATTTAAAGTTTGTATTATTTGTTCAAAATTACTTAAAGAAATCTCACTCTTGTAGAACGTTTGCAATTTTGAACGTTCACAAAGAATCATGTCCAATTTTGACCTAGAAATTAACTGACGCGTCTAGTGATGTGTTATATCTTAAAATATAGCTTATTTTTTACGTATTTCATAGCGCATAATAAAATATTAAAATAAGTCCAGGAAAAAAATTAGGAGGCAGATAAAGTTTAAAAAATATTGTATATTAAATATGAGAACGCGATTCGGACCGCAGAATGACCGCTAGCTGCGATTCGTTTCATCTACTACGAGAAATATATTCATTGGCCTTAGGATTAAAAAAGTACACAATAACAATTACATTTCATTTTATTTTCTCAACTTAGAATAATAGTTTTTAAAGATTTTATTTTAATGGTATGAATGATGTGAAAAATGAATGTACAGTTGAACCAGTTACGCATAGAGCGAAATTCTTTTGCATCAAACGGAATGGTAACGTCAAACGAATGTTGATTTGCTCTTTCCTTGTTATGTATTGCGCAATTTTGATTCTTTCATTCATTTCATTTTCATTTTACATGTAGAAATTAATTTATTCACTTGACATTGACAGAATTGTGCGAAATGCGCAGATAAGCCATTAATAAAAGAAGAAGATTTCTCGATAAACCCTTACAACTTTTGCTTTCTCCACAGACTCCGATACCAATCACTTACTGTTACTGTGGCTTGTATTGTTTGGACTTCGATTTTGTGCCTTTTGATAAGGATTTAAGACGTACTTAGTGCTTTCGTTTGAAAACATGATGGAACATTCTACGAGATCCACCACGTATAAATTACTCTGTATAAATTGTAACTTTTGTGTTATTAGGATTTTATCACTTTATTAGAACAATCCACGGCTGTTGCATGAACACAGGAGTATATTGGGTCTTGCTGGAATCTTAATAAAGATGCGGACAAGTGACACTGATTTACGAATTTCAATTTTCTTAAAAATTCCTCATGTCACATTAGAGGGGTAAATGAATGCAGCAAGATATTTTGTTTCTAATTATTTAGATATATATTATATGACAAGAGACCAATCAATGGAACATAATCTGATGATCCCAAATGATATTTACAATCACAATAACAACCAAGTGATTGTAATATGTGATGGTACATATATTTATATCAATAAAAGTAGTAATTATATGTTTTAAAAAGAAATATTCTAATAAATATAATTATATGTTTTATAAATATAAGAATTTGTTAAAACCAATTTTAATAGTAACATGTGATGGAAATATTTTGGATAGCTATTTTGCATCAGATTTAGTAGCCCAATCAGAGCTACTAAATCTGATGCAGAAATAATGTGTTCTTTGTTCAGAAATAAAAATGCGCTGTTGAAACAGTACTTCCAAGATAATGATATTTATTCTTAGAGATAGCATCAGCTTCTTAGAAAGTTGCAATTATAAAGCATGTATGCCCGAGTCACTTTTGGAAGGCGAACACCAGTTAGCCACCACCAAGACAAACAGCAATAGATGTGTTACAATATACAGATGGGAGGTGGAGGTTGTCAATGGGTATTTTAAAAGAGATTGAAGGTTATTATGATTTGACCATTTTAATAAAACCGTACCTCATTTGTTTGAGTATTTCCAAATTGCGGCTTGTTTAATTAATAAGTTTGGTGTTCGCCTACGTAATAGACCTAATGCTGTTTAAATTCTAAGTACAATATAAGTAAGGATGGAAAATAATTTGGTGAATGTACTTCCCAGTATAATTTTGATTGCTGGGGATACTTTTTTAAAACATTAGAGTCAAAACAATTTCTTTTTAGTTTCCCTGACTAGAATTCCATGAATTAATATTGTTTGCCTGGCGAACGTACCAAATATGCCAGACACATTATGGTAAGCATATTTCCAAGGTGGATATAGAATAGAAGTATGTTTAGACACAAGTCATATCTGAGTTAGGCAGTGATGAAACTATTCTCATAAAAGGACATATAAAATCCAGGCATGTCTCAAGGTGCCAGTATTGTGTTTATATTTTCATTAAAAATGGTGTTAATGGACGAGAAGGCATTAAACAGTATTGTTGCAATTGCCTCTTAGGACGTCGCACTGTTAATTGTTGTGCACATGTTATGGCGATTGTGTGGTATCTGGGTTGGGCCAGGCACAAAAATAGCATTAATCCTTCATCTGCATTTTTGGATGAAGTAGTTATAAGAAATGGTAGTGGCAGTGAATAAATAAATTAATAACAAACACCTGTTTTTTATTTCTATTTAATAATATAATCTAAGCTGAAAACACCATTATGCGTAATCGATTTTAATATTCCAAGTATACTTTGGTCAAAGAAATAGTAGCAATGCAAAGAAATTAAAAAAGTTTCGAAAAAAAAAACTAACTGTGCACTATAAAAGATTAATACTTTGAAGATGTCATAAAAATCATAAAATATTACTATATATTTTTTTAATAAAATTAATAAATGGCATTAAATAAAACAAAATTCGCAATTATCTCGAGTTTTGACAGTTGTTATAACCTCAATATATTATTTACAAATTGCACTTTTCCCTGGACTTTAAATGAAAAGATCATTTGTTAAAATTCTATTAAAAGCAAAAACCAATTTAAATTAACACCATTTGTAAGTAGACGCGACCTTTAAAAGAAAACGAGTGACAGGTCAATCAATGTATGGAGAGTGGACATGATTCTTTACACGTGTGATACGAAACTCGAGTACGACTAGAGTAGCGTGGTTAAATAAATTGAAAGAATCGAATCACAAAATCCTATTCGAGTCGCAATATTTCGACTTTCGGATTCGAACTTTGAATAACGATCTATAAGCAGATATTAATAAGTTAGGCATGTCGATACACTTGAAAAAAAAATCCATCTCTGAATCGATTCGATTCGAACATACTAGAAGCTATTCTTGATTAAATCGAGCATTGAAAGATCGATTTTCGATTAATCGCGAATGTTTCACTCAAACATGCCTTATATAGACACAGAGCATTATTGATAATAATTTATCGTTAATACAAGTAATGCAGGAATTGTAGGAGATCAATCAGGCAATTTATTATAATGGAAGGGTGATGTATGGGTGATTCCACGAGCTGGAGTAACAGTGACAGTAGTTACAACTATACTATACTGACATTCGAATGTGTTCATAAATATTTATTTTATGCGTTCAAATTATCAATACGTCCGTCCAGAACAGCAAAATATCGTATCCAATTTAAAAATTTTATATTGCTAGTTCTTGAATTGAATTGAGTCGGTCAGATTCAAGGGGTTCATGCATCAATTCAATAATCGATGTAGCATTCCAAATCGATCTGAAAATTCGATTATTTTACTCTAAATAATCAATATTTCGATTAATCGATCTCAGATCGACATGCCTACACTAAGTCTCTGGAAGATATCGTTACCGCCATCCCTAGGCAGAGGCGTATTTCAAGTTTGTTATTTTGGCATTAATTAATATTTTTGGTACAGATTCTTCAAATTGGAATTATATTTATTTGAGGCTAGAGCATTTTATATTAAATTTAAACTGAAAAATGTCGAGACAAACATCTAGACTCGATGCTAAGAAAGTAGTAAGTATTATTACTTTCTCAATAACCGCTCTTGTTTTAGATGATCAGTACTTATAATATATTACATATAATTTTTTAGAATTCTGAACTTCTCACGTTGACTTATGGTGCTCTAGTGTGTCAAATGTTAAAAGAGCTAGAAAATTCTGATGATGTAAACAAACAGTTGGAAAGAATCGGCTACAACATGGGTGTTAGACTAATTGAAGATTTCTTAGCTAGAACCAGTTCAAATAGGTGCTTAGAAATGAGAGAAACTGCTGATAAAATTCAACAAGCATTCAGGTATGAATATTTTTTTCCTTTTAGTAAAACACATTAAAGTAAGTAAAATAATTAGGCATATAAAATAATCAAAAATTGTTTGTCTCTGTTCTTCATTTGATTGTTGTTTTAGATTCCATAACCAGTCACTTTAATTACCTTTAAAAGTAAAAAATAAGTGTGTTCAGTATTTAGAAGTATCTTAATTACTTTGGATTTCAGTATTCATAATGACCCAAGTTATGTTAATCCTATTTTCACTTTAAAACTTTGTTGTTTAATTGCAGATAATTTAGCATGCCAAACATGAAAATTTAAATAACTATGAAATAAAATTTAAAGATCTTAAATAACAGTATTGTATTAATTTTTTTTGTATCTAGTCAGTCATGATATTTTTGATTTTTAGTGAATCACATAACTGTTTAAATTAAATAAGGCTTTTCACAACTTTTCTTTATAAATTTCAGGCTCTATTTAAACATGCAACCAACAGTTACCAGTTGGAGTAGCGCTGGTGATGAGTTCTCTCTGGTCTGGGATCAGTGTCCGCTGAGTGAGTGGGTCGAGATGCCCAACAATGGGCTAAAATATTGTGCTTTAATCCCAGGTGCCATCCGGGGGGCCTTGCAAATGGTGCAGCTTGATGTCCAGTGTTGGTTTGTTCAGGTAAACTTTAATTTAATTATTATATTAGCTATTTTCCTGCAACATTGGAAATATAAATAGCCTATGTCACATGTATATGATGTAGCTTCTCGATGATGAAAAAAATCAAATTGGTCCTGTAGTTTCAGTGCTTATTTGATGTAAACAAACAAGCAAATCTCTTCTTGGTTAAAATTGAATCAATATGCAATTTAATATTCAAAATTGTATTGAAGGTTCAGTTGACAACTTGATTCATTTTCAAAATCTGCTTAAGTCCCTTTTTTGATATCAAACTGCTAATAATAATATTTTTATTGTCCAAAACATTTACATTCTTTTATTGAACAAAGGTTATAACAAACATTAAGTTTTTTGTAAACTGATTGATTGACTGGTGAATTTAAAATAGAATGTCATTTTTCAAACTCCTGGCTCACGTTTTCATGTAAAACATTTTAAACAGTTTTCAAAGTGAGCCCCTCAAGTCAACTTTTTTTTTAATATCAAGTGTTTCTGAATTGAGAAAGTACAAAATCTCAACTGATTACTCGCAAATAACTTTTCATAAAAAAAAAATTGGATACGAAAACCTGGTTATGAGACATTTAAGTACAATTTGAGATGTGATTAACTTTAAATACTTAATTCAGAAACTGGATATATATCTATATCTAACCGGCTGTATATCTAACAAGAGAATTATTGTTAGATATAGACCGCATTAAGTGCATTTTTATTCAATCCAATTTTGAGGAAATCTATGTAAGTGAAGTTATGCAGTGGTCCTGCAGTTAGTATAATAGAAGAAGGACTTTTTTTTTTTTTTTTTTTTTTTCTATTTTTTTAAGGACTTTTATCTTTAAGATATGACAGTCCTATCGTACCCTAAATATACATAATCTACAGCTTTAAAATAATAGTTGAGAGATCAACTATCATCGATGACTTACCATGTCGCATATAAGTTTAGCTGTGCTTGCCAATGGTTCACTCAGTAAACTTTGGAAAATGCCTAAGTCAAGTTGGTTTAACTTTAGAGTAGTCATCAGTGTTTGTCGCTCTCTCATATTTCTGTGACATTCCAACAACAAATGTTGAACGTCCTCAATTAGACCACAAGTATCACAATTAGGCGAATCTGTTTTTTTCATTAGGAAACCAAAATTGTTAGTCGGATAGTGTCCAGATCTAAGTCTATGCATGACTATAATATCCTGTCTGCTTAAATTGCAGTTACTGAACCATGGTATTCGAAGAGGCTCACACTGGATAGTTTTATACCAAATACCTTTGGATGTTGAGCGTTCATCAAAGTATTGCTTCCATTTGTTGTAAATATATTTCTTATACTTTGGTAGTAATTCTGTATAGAATTGAGAAATATTTAACACATTTCCTTCTGTAGAGGCTACTTTCGCTAACCTGTCAGCCTCTTCGTTTCCACTTAATCCAATGTGAGATGGAACCCACTGAAGTCTAAGACATTTACCGCTATTATGACAGTCATGAAGCTTTGCAAGAATGTTATAAGCTATCGGTACACCTCTAAAACCAGAGGCGCAACGAGCTATATGTTGCAAAGCGCTTTGACTGTCTGAAAAAATAACACATTTTGTCAATTTTTCTTCGATTGAAAATGTAATTGCTTTATATATTGCTATTAATTCTATGGACATTATTGATATATCAGCTTCTATTTTAAAACCAGCTTTATGTTGTGGATATGAACAGAAAAAGGCAGCACCTCTCTTTGCTTTTGATTTCGATCCGTCTGTATAAATTTTATGCCATTCTCTATATTTTTTATCTAGTTCTGATATAATATCATATTTCATTGATAAATTGTTTTCATTCTTCCTTTTTGAACCGTCAACGCTTTCTAAATTAATTTTTATTGCTTCTAATAAATTGATATAAGTAACCCAAATATTTAGTTGAAACATACACAATGGATAGGAAGAGTGAATATTATTTTCATTTTTAGTTATATTATATACCGTAATTAATAGTGGCTTTTTCTTTTTATTCCAATAATTTCTTGTGCACTCCTGTCTTAATTTTTCGAACAGCTCAATTGTAATATTATTTTTCCAAGATAATGTTTTTAGGCAATATTTAAAAGCTAAAAAATGTCGTCGCAGATGTAAAGGTGGGATAGACGTTTCGCTTTCCATTACATGTATCGGCGAGCTTCGGATAAATCCTCCAACAATTCGAAGAGCTTGGTTTTGTAGCTTGTCCAGTTTCGAAAGATGGGTTTTAGCGCTATTGTCATATAGAAAACATCCGTAATCAAATCTACTTCTAATTAAAGAGATATATAATTTTCTTACATGTTTTGGGTGCAGTCCCCAACTCGAACCGGAAAGCACTTTCAACACGTTGAGGATTTTTTGAGTCTTTTGATAAATTTCATTAATATGTTTTCTCCATATAAGCGATCTGTCGACCCAGAACCCTAAATATTTAATACATTCTGAAGCTGTAATTCTTTGGTCATATATAGTCAATTTTAAATTTTGTTGCTTACGTCCTCTACTAAACACACAGTAATTAGATTTTTTAGGAGACAATACTAATCCAATATCTTCCAAGAGTGTTATCATTAAGTTAATATTATTTTGAATTCGTCTTTCTAGGTCTTTTAAATTTTTATCTCGAATATAAAGTACAAAATCATCCGCATATTGACTAATTTGTACATCTTGAATTTCCTGACAGATTTTAGCAGTAACAATATTAAATAATAGAGGAGAGATAGGATCTCCTTGTGCCAATCCTCTACTACTACATCTTTCCATTGTTTTAGCCTTGAAGTTAGTTATTTGCAACCGTCTAAAACTTAAAAAAGTCCAAATATATCTGCAAATTGATATTCCTACTTTTAATTCATTAAGAGTTTTCACAACTTTGCTTATTAAAACGTTATTGTAGGCATTTTCAACATCCAAAAAGCAAGCCAAAGTAGGTTCATTCGTCGAAAAACCTGTCTGTATATAAGTAACAAGACGCACCAAGGGGTCAATACAAGAATGAGCTCTTCTAAATCCTGTGGACATGTTAGATATAATTTGATTTTTTTCTATATACCATTCCAAACGTTTCGCTATCATTAAGTGGAATATTTTACAGATACACGAAATTAACGATATCGGTCTCAACTTTTTTTCACCTTCATTATTACACCCTGGCTTTGGTATCGGAACTATTTTAATACATTGCCATTGTATTGGTACTATTCCACTTGAAAAGATATCATTATAGAGTGATAACAGAAACGTTAGGCTGTTTATTGGTAAGTTGGATATCATAGAGTATGTGATATTGTCGTTTCCTGGAGCGGTGTCTTTTTTTTTTAGACAATGCTTAAGTTCTTGCAAGGTGAACTTCGATTCCAAAATTGTATTATCCGAATTTAAGTATGGTCTATTTTCTAATACTGTGTCTGGTGCTAATGTATTTAATAATTCTTCTACTTTTTCTTCTGGCGCTTGAAAATTTGTTTGTTTATAGCCTTTTATCCAGCGCATTTTTCGCCACATATCAGAAACACTATTCGAATTATCTATATCACAACAGAACTTTTTCCATGATTCCGATTTGGCCTTGCTTATCATATGCTTTGCATCTTGTGTCTTCTTTTCCAATACAGATAAATTCTGAGGAGTAGGATTACGTCGGAAATGTTTTAAGGCTAATCTACGTTGTGCAACAATTGCCGATAGTGATGGATTCCAGTAATTCTTCGGTACGAACTTTCGTTTTATATTATTGCAAAATTTTACTAATGGAATGTTATTGTCAGCAGCTTGTTTAATTTTTTCTTCGAAGAAGTTATATTTATTTTGTAAATTTTGGTCATAAAACTCACTGCAACTATCAAATGATAATTTTAATTCCTCCTTGTAACCTGTCCAATCCGCTAACTTGTAATTCCTTTTTTTGGTTATATTGACTTTATCTGTATAGTGTAATGATATTTTGATCATGAGGTGATCACTACCAAGTTTTTCATTCATAGTTTGCCAATTTAAACTTGTAACAATATCACTTGATGCAAACGTTATGTCGGGAGTTGATTCCTGAAGGATTCCATTGACTAATCGAATTCTCGTAGCCTGACCGTTATTAAGTGATATGAAGCTGTTTTCTAAGGCTGAATCAAATAGCTGCATTCCTCTTGTGTCATTTTTGTATGACCAATTGGTATGGTGACCATTAAAATCACCAGCTATTAAAGTCTTGTTTTTATAAGCCGAAAAGAGGCTGTCCCAATTCAATTGAGTAGTATGTATCGTGGAAGGACAATAAACGGACACAACATGTTCAATATGTTTACAATTGAGAATCTTTATAGCTATTATTTCTATTCCTGAATTAGTTACAGTCACTGGGGTCGCATGTGTAACAAGAGAACGATGAGCTAAAATTGCAACTCCCCCATATCCATCAGCCCTATCTTTTCTATAAAGGTTATACTCACCCGTATTTAAAAGTACTTCTTCTTCAAGCCACGTTTCGCTGATTATAGCTAAATGAATTTTTTCTTGGTTTAACAGCGAGAAAAAACTTACGAATTTTGGCCTTAGACTTTGTGAGTTCCATTGCATCACGTTTACATCGAATACTTTAAGAGAACTATGATCCATAAAGAATATCAAATAATGGTTTAATAAAGTCTCCACATTTAAAACTAGTCAAAATATAATTCTTAATTTCTTCAAATATTAATTTAAATATCAATACTAATTTACGTTCTAGGGTCATGTTAGATATAACGATTTCTTTAATCTTAATTAATAAAATTTTGAAAATGTTTTTTCTGTCTATGTTATTTGGATACTCAGATGTGTTATGATGATTTTCAGTTTCATGAGTATCACACATATAATCTTCCTGTTGATATTCTTTTGTGGTCTTCTTTGTTTTTGTTGATTTTATGCCTGACTGATCTTCTTTACTGTACGAGTCTGATTGGTTTTCTTCTTCCATACTCTCCAAAAATGTATTATTTTCCTTTGTATTCATTATAGGTTTATTTGATTTGACAACGCTGCTATAAGTGGGTCTAGAAGAAATTGGAAGGACGACTGATTGACAGTCCATATTTTCATTTATATATGATTCGGTATTTCCACCTTTGTTCTGTCTTAAAAATATTTGTAGGCCTTTTCTATACGTTATATTTTCTTCACTCATTATTTTACGAATCTCTTTTTCTTTAAGAAACGCTGGACAAGATTTATCCAGAACGAAATGTTTTCCTTTGCAGTTTAGACATTTTATATCTGTAGTGGTACAATTTTTGTGGTTTTGACCACATTTTGGGCATTTAATATTTTTACTTGGGCAAAATTTTAATATATGTCCAAATCTCCAACAGCCAGAGCACTGAGTGACCGGAAATACGTATCGTTCAACTTTAAATCTACACCCATAAGCATATACATACGGTGGAAGTGTTGAGTTGTTGAAGCATATACGAATTGTTTCACTTTTTGTCCATTTTCCTTCGGTATTTAAACGATTCAATCGATTGACTGAAATAATTTTGTAACAGGATTCGAATATCTCAATAATATCTTTATCTTCAAGCTCTAAATCTACTCCTCTTACTATTCCATAAGATAAGGCCATCTCAGATACTATCTGACATCTGCCACCCATCTCATTAATTTTGGTGCATTTCATTAATTTTTCAGCCTCATGTCGATTTTCAAAGTCAATAAGTACTTTATAAGGACTTTTGTATTTTATTTGAGTAATACTCTCGATGTTTTCGTTTTTTAATAATTTGGCTAAAGCCATTTGTTTTGGTAGTATTTGTAATGAGGTTATGCATACTTCTGTTTTATTCTCAGTACTTGTATCAGTTAAATTATTCGAATTTACGATTGAAGTATTCCTGTTTAATCGTTTCGATCGTCTCTTGGTAACCGTTGTAAATTCATCTTCGATAATTTCTTCGCTGTTTTCACTTTCTTCGCGGGTTCTCTTCTCCACTAATTTATTTTTAGATAAGTCTCGTTGCGTGTTTTGATTTTCCAAACCTTTCCATTCAAATATTTCTTGCATTTCTTTCTCACATTCCTTTAACACTTCAGAATCGCTCATATTCACATTATTATCATCGTCATTATCACTATTTTCGCTCATTTTAATTTATTGTATTATCCGAGGGTACTTGTAAAACAAAATACCAATATGTATGATGCGGCTAGCCAATACACTGCGCACGTATGCTCACTGCAACTCCAACCGCGCAACTGAGAAGAAGGACTTAACAACTGTTCTTATTCATGAGACATAATAGCTAAACTCAAGTTTGTATTCATGGGCCATAACAGTCACGTTATTGAGGCATAGACTAACAGAGCCAAGGGTGGTAGTTAAGTGATTCTGCTTCTTAAGTCAATTTGACTCTAAGCAGATTGGATCATGAAATCTATGATCACTCTATGAAATTGATGTTATTATTAAATAATTTCAGGATCAGCTCAAAGGAGATGCAGTTACAGAACTTAGAGTGAAATATATAAAACGATTAGAAGATGCAGTGCCAGCGGGAGAAGATTAGATGAATAATATGGTAGGTGTGCGGTTAATAAGTTTACTTTATCAAAGAATGTTATAAATAATCGTTAATATCTTACTAAATATACATTGTTTGAGTATCAAGTAGTTTTCAGTCTTTTGTCTTTTTATATTTTCTTGGAGACTTAAGTCTATATCTATACTATTTCAAAAATTATTATTATACTTAAAGATGGCAAGCAATGATGAAGAAAACATTTACTGTCAATGGTCATTTGAGTGTCTGAAACACAGACTGATATTATTTTCTGCCGTAATTATTGTTTTTATGTATATAATCTGCACAGCTTTTGTTGTAGTTAATCGAATGTCGCCATTTTAGATACAATATGGCGGTCGCTGCAAAAGGACGGTTTATCAGTCTTTTTTTTTAATTAAACACTTGTTAATTTTATTATGTTATCTTATAATTAAAGTTTAATTGTAATGAAACAGTGCTGCTAAAATATCATTGGTAAGACAATGTTTTTAATTTCTTTAGTAATGATCATTTGAATAGCAAAAAATTCCTCTATTAGTGATTAAGACCAGGCTCGTACTGTCGATTTTTCGTCATCCTGACTTATTGTTTCTGTTATTTATATGAAAGTCACCTGAGTCTCACGTTTTTAAGCGCACGCGCCACCACAAAGTTTCTTAGGCACGGTGACATAAAGTTGGAAAGTCACGGTGACAAGAGTGCGCACGTAGCCTTATACTCGAAAAATATAGGCACAGGTAATGTGTAATAAATTCTTTTTTGACAGTTAAAAAAGAAATTATTACATTTTTAGTTGGTTATTTTTGTTATCTTTTTTATGAACTAGATGTCGTTAATATCATACAGAAAGACAACTATTTGGTAATATGTTCTAGAATAAGATAGATGGCGTTGACTTTTCGATTTCTATGCATAGATGTAATGAATGGGTAATTCCAAAGTGAACAATCATAGTTTACAATGCACATTATTATTTCTACAATGAATGTCATCATAGATACATATAATGAAATTTTAGTTTTGAAATTTCTTATTTAAGTACTACTAAAATAATACTTGTTTTGAAGTTTATTTATTTAATGTCATGCTATGTTATGTTATTTTAAAAGTAACATATATTTATATGTTAGTACCTACTTACCAAGCTGTGGGTATGTTGGACTAAAATTGGCCATTAACTTGTTTTGGTTTTGAGTAAAGTAAGCATGCAGATTACTCTGTGCTTTGGGGGGTACGTTGAGCCGTTGGTCCCGGCTGCATTTGCAGCCGTTAATACACTCCAATCCGCATTGGGCCAGCGTGGAGGGTCATGGCCCGTCCTCCTTAACTATCCATGAAGAAGGGCTGAGCAGTGGCAGCCCTGCAGTGGGGACGTAGAACCGGTGATGATTGTATATGTACATTGTAGTAGTAGTAAAAGTATCAACAACTACAAATATCCCTAAAATTTGTGCACTTTTTGCATAATGTCTTGTTTATTTGTATATATGGTAACTATCCAAAATGCTATATATATATATATATATATATATATATATTCGGATCTCATTTCTTTCCAATTTTTTTCCAATTTAGAACATTCATAAGAGCTTGGAGTATCGAGATCGACTATCATTATATTAAGTTTTTACTTATTATTTAGTTTAAGACATTGTTATTTCCTTAAATGGTATTTGTAAAGTCAACAGCACACCAGGGGTGTGACCGCCCATCTCTCTAGCGATATTACGACTTTAACATGTGCTTTAACGACGAACTAATGATAAAGAATGATGATTACGTATTTGATTGCAGTGTTACCAACTTAGTAATTTGTCCACCAAACGATTTGTCAAAGTAGGAATATGAAATGAAATATCGTCGCAACATCGCTAAGATGTCGTTCCCATGATTACAATCAAGGCTAGAGATATGAAAGGATCAATCAAAATAAAAATTTTGAAGTAGGTTTTATTTTATCGAACCTCTGATATTATATATATACATCGCTGCGTTCGATTCTGTATTTGTAACAGAATAGCACCGCTACGTATACAAAACTATCCTCGGATCAATTTTGAATCTTAATACAAATAAGATAGAATCCAGAAAGTAGAAGTTTTGTAGCAGATGTGCTTCTGTGTAATACCGTATTTAAGATGTATGATTGTAACATAACTTTAGTCCGAAATGTAAACTTTAATGAATATATTATTTATTATAAAATATTGTATTGATTGTAAATACCTTACATTTTAGACATAACATAACCATGTGACAATGCTTTTAGCATTTTAAATCGTTGAAATTTCGGGAACGGTTAGTTCTAATAGTGCGTCTTGTTTCAATAAACATATTTTATTAAATACAACACATTAAATATCCGTAACAATACATTATTGTTATATATACAACCCTGTTATATACAGACCACATTAAGTGCATTCAATGCGATTTTGAGGAAATCTGTGTAAGTGATTGATACTTGGTTAGAGTCAGGCGCCTGGATATTGGTGGATCACCCGATGCGTAGTATAACGATACTTGAATCAATCTGATTGGCGGACATTTTGCCATGCATCTAAATTGAATTTTCTGCGCAGGTACATTCGTGAACCACACAGTTGTATATTACTGCACTTATATTTCTTCATTCTGTCTCCGCTTTTGTTAGTTCTGTTTTTTTTTTTTATGAACAGAAAGTTAATAGTAGTTCATTTCACATCATAAGTCAAAAGTACCTACTTAAATCTCTAGCTCATCGCGTTCGGCAGTGCTATGAAGATGGGAATGGTAAATTACTATTTTTGTTTGATATTTTGCTATAATAAAATTAATAATTGCGTTCTGTATCGTGATCCTAGACAATTAACCATTTCCCTGGGCTTTGTACAGCCGCACTGTAGTTGGAAGTTGTGATGGGTTACTCGGCTGATCAACGTTTAGCCATGCAAATTAATTCCGCTATTTTATTACAGGGCTATCCGTCTAATTGGATGGATGTTTTACCGACTTGGCTATGGCACGTGTATACACGTTAATGAGGAAGTATTTAAAAAAAAAACATTAGTTTCTGAAATCAAACTAGATGCTACGGTACGTTCTTGTTTTCACCATGACAACCTTTCCGGTTTTCTTTCGTGTTTAAAAGTAAATTAGTTTCCAAAACTCAATAAACAATACATATTATATTTGTACTTTTTCGTATTTGTATTGATATCTAAGTTTCGAACTTTTCAAATTTCAGTTTTTTAATATGTTAGTTCTTCTTCTTCTTCTTTATATTAATGGCTTATCTGCGCATTTCGCACAATTCTGCCAATGTCAAGTCAGTAAATTAACTTTTACATGTAAAATGAAAATGAAATGAATGAAAGATGGAGATGAATTAATAAATAATAATCAAGGTAATGACTGTTATTGAGAATTCTGGAGTACTGAAATTAAAGGCTGCTGGTTCCGTGGAGAATCGGTATATTTGACAAGACATACAGAAAAACAATGACTTCTATCAAAAGTAAAACAAAATATAAAAAACTATAAAAACATAAATAATATCAAAAAGTTTGTGCTTCAGCACATTTGTTCCTTTTTTTATTTTAAAATTAGGACCAATTTTCGGGTAGGTCGTCTCAAAATGCCAGCGGAGGTACATACATCCGCCACACGGATTACCCCGTCTCGGCCTGGGTGTACAGCACACACTCTTCCTCGAGGCCACGATCCACGCGGCAAGTTTCCGTCGACTACCAACACTAGATCACCAATAGCTATGTTCTCTCCCATGCACCACCCATGAAAGGTGCAGAAGGCGGGATAAATTTCCATCTTATTTGCTGGTTAGCAGCAAAATCTGTGACTGCCGTGCCGTATAACGCTTTCAGTTCTTTGCTGGCTCCCACGAAGGCTGTCCCATTATCTGATAATATCTGAGAGGGTGTCCCACGCCGCGCAATAAAACGCCTGAGACACATCAGAGCCGCATCGGTAGATAAACTGAAGACCACTTCCAGGTGAATTGCTCTGGTTACTAGACACGTCAGAACGGCGATCCATCTTTTCTCGCGCCTGCGTCCAACAGATACCAGGAGGGGCCCGAAGTAGTCTAATCCCACAAACGAAAATGGTCGATGGTGATGGGACAATCTCTCCAAGGGTAAATCGCCGACTGGAGGTCGAAGAGGGGCTGCACGCAGAAGACGACACCTGGTGCAATTATAGATGATAGAGCGCACCACGCTCCTTGCGTGGATAATCCAAAAACGCTGACGTAATTGATTCACTACCATCTCTGTGTTGCAGTGTGCAGCTTTTTCATGGTACGACAAAACTAATAGACGGACAGCTGGGTGTTTCCCATCAAGAATAATTGGGTTAACTTTTTCCGTATCTGCCGCTGCAGCGGTCCGGTCGGATAACCTGACCAAGTTATCATTTCCAAGGAACACTACAAATTTGGAGAGGCGACTTTGGGCTGGTACTGGTTTTCCTGCACGGAGACACACGACATCGTTCTTAAAGCAATCCATCTGACTTCGCCGGAATATATGTACCTCTGCTAACCGTATATCATCTGCTGTAAGACCTTTCGATATTGAGGAATTATCGCCAGGGCCGAAGTCTGAAGTAAACGTTAGTAATTTGCCGCGAACTAACTGAAAGTTATTTATTGGAAGCCCCCGTTTTCTAAGACAATGCAGTCTAAGCAAAGTGACATATTGGTGAGCTCGAGCCGTTGCACGTACCAATCTTAGCCATGAACTAAAGCGAGATGGGTTAGCGGACAAAGGCAAGTGCAACTGAGACTCATCATTGTGGTAAATGGCAGCGTGATCATGAAATGAGTTATGATCGAATGGAACGATGTAATGTGCACGGGATGATGCATTTAACCGTGCGGCTGGCTTTAGCTCTAATGAAATTGATGCTCTAATATTTGATGGTTCTATGGGCCATTCTGATGATAAAAGGAACTGTGGTCCGCATACCCAGCGAGAGTTTGCAGTAAGCTCACCACGTTTGATGCGCGTAGCATCATCCGCAACATTTAAGTCTGAGGGCACCCAACGCCATTCCGATGTGTCGGTGAGCTCACAAATCTCACCTATACGATGTGCAACGAATGGTTTGAATGACCTCGCATCGCTACGTAGCCAACCTAAGACGTTGAGAGAATCACACCAAAAGAAACGCTTTGATGGCACGTAACGGTGCGATTCACAAATGGATGAGGCGAGACGAGCTGCTAAGAGCGCTCCTTGAAGCTCTAAGCGTGGGATGGAAATGGGCTTCAGAGGAGCCACTCGCGCTTTACTACAGATAAAAGTGAGCTTCACGTTTCCTTCAGCATCTATAAACCACCAATAGGCAACCGCAACGTAGGCCAGCTCGCTGGCATCGGAAAATACGTGTAGCTCACAATTATGGAATTTGCTTCCCTTATTATGATAGAAACGTTGGATGTGGAGGCTTGAAACTGAATTAAGGTTGTCAAACCACCAGCTCCAAGCATTTCTTTCAACTTCAGGTAGTTCTTCATCCCAGTCATAACCCTTGCGCCATATGTTTTGAAACATTATACGACCGGGAACAACCACTGGCGCAAGAATTCCGAGAGGATCGTAGACGCGCATAATGTAGGACAGTAATTTGCGTTTAGTTAAACTGTCTTGACAAACGGATCTGTCTGATACAGTTGGGCTGAATGTAATGACGTCGCTTGCCGGTTGCCATATTAATCCTAACGTACGGACTGATGTCGGAAAATCACCTAACGCAATATCTGCAACCGAGGAACTAAGCAAGAGGTCCCTGGACAGCTGTGCTAATGCTTTTGGCTCATTGGATACCCAGCCCCGCATTTCAAATCCCGCGCGCTTGTGAATAGTAACCACGTCAATAGCCAACTGAGCCGCTTTTTCAACTGAATCTACACTTCCTATGTAATCGTCCATGTAATGATCTTCTAATATCGCTGTCGCCGCATCAGGGTACAAATCCCTGCTTTCCTCCGCATTTTTATCTTTGACAAACAGAGC